TTTTTTTTAGTTAGAAAAAAAAATTTATGTAAAAAAAAAAAAAATTGATATAGAATAGCCTTAGCCCGGCCTGTAATCCGGTCCTGGATCCATCCCTAGTCAATTTCATTTGTTTCGTCTTTTCCATCTTTGTTCAGGGATCTCACTGATAATATTCTTGCAATCTATTCAAGGTTATTATAATTCTTGATTGAAAGGAGAATAATTTGTGGCCTAAATATTTAATTATCGCTGGCATTAAAGAACACAGTTTGAGATGCTAGATATTTCAACCTTACTTGGAAGTGCATCATGATTGTAAACGTTCACTTTTACTTTATTAGGGTTTGTAGCATGTAATGTTTATGGCCACTGCTTCAGTATATGCAATCACATTGTGATTGATGGTTTAGAATGCTAGTTAAAAATAAAATATAAGAATATTTTCTCCCTTTTATGCTTTACCTCTCTTTGTTCTATGTATTTTTATAATATTTGATATGATTAGAGGAGATCAAAGAGGCAACTGGTCCTATTCCAAAACGTGTCAGAAAGCTTATCCAGGATTTTTTTTTTTTTTTCTTTTTAATGTTTGACATGGTTGTTTGACTTAATGATGAATCATTTGTTAGACTGGATTTACTTGACAATTCTTGCTTAAAGGGTTAACCTTACCTGTCCTGGACAAAGAGATTAGTGAAAGCCTACTGAGGTTATCCTTAAATGTTCATTGGGAAGCAAATGAAGAGTATTTGTCATTTCAAAATTTTGATAACAAAGTTTAGTAAGATTACGATTTATGAAGGTTCAAGAAGTCAGTATTACTGCTTGGTCTTGTAATAGAGCTGGTAAAAGTGTTTTCTTGCGTCCAGATGTAAGTTGAGATCAAGATGTTTTAGTACCAAAAAGAGAAGTATTTTGGTCCCTTTGTCAACATGCTTCTGCATATTATTTGTTGAGGTGGATTCAATGTCTGAAGTCAGTAGTTTCAAAATTGGTAATATTTAATTAGTATTTATTTGTTGCCATAATTGCCCTAAACTGTCTTCTTGTATGCTATTGATATTGATGTATGTCTAATATATTCATGTCTATCCTCAGGATTATAACAGCTGAACGTCAGCTTGCTAGGAATTTGGATTTACAGTCACTCAATGATTTGGGATTCTCCAAACGATATGTTCGATGCCTCCAGGCATGTCTCATATAACTGCCCCATGTCTTATTTCTATGACTGAACGGTTTCTTATTTTTGTCTGCTGTGAACAGATAGCAGAGGTTGTCAACAGCATGAAAGACCTTATGGAGTTTTGCAGAGACCGAAGGGCGGGGCCTATTGGTAATGAATTCCCACTGTATTAGTTCTCTAATAATTTGAAACACTTGTATGATATTTATACCGTTATGCTAGATTGATCTATTCGCATAAAATTCACATACATGATGGAATATGGTATGTTGGTTCAACATTTGATTTCATCCGTTCACGGGAAATGTGATGTAGTTGTTCTATATCTGATTTCTGTATTAAGAGCACGTAAGAATGTGTTGACAACCATATGATGCTCATTCAGCTGTCATTTGCAGAGGGCTTGAAAACCTTTCCGCGACACGCCTCTGTGTCAAAGATTCAGATGCAGAAGATGAAAGAAACAGAGCAGATGGGGAGTCTTCAAGGTCTGCGAACTGATCAGAGTACACTCAATAAACTAATGGCGTTGCAAGCTGGACTCAATAGCCAAATGAACAATAACCAACATATGGTTGGTGGAGGAGCTTTGAGTGGCTCGGTCCAGGCTGCTCATGCACTGACAAACTACCAAAATTTGCTGATGAGACAAAACTCAATAAGCTCAACCCAAAATTCACTTCAGCATGATGCTTTTTCTTTCAATAATTCTAAACATGCTCTGACTTCAACACCTCCAGGGTCCACGTGTATTTTGCCCGGAAGCATGCAGAATGTACCCATAATTGGCTTCTCGAGTTCCCATGTATCACATCAACAGAACCTGCATCATTTGTTGAGTGGGAATGGCGTACTGCAGCAAAATCTGTCTGTACCCTCCCAAGGCAGTCAAGCTTTACAACAGCAAATGATCCAGAAACTGCTGCAGGATATGAGTAATAACAAAAGTGGGAAAGGGATTCCGCAGCAGTTTCATTCCATGCAGAGTGCAGGTGGCAATGTATATGGGGACGGGCTTGAGTTTAGAAACAGCCCTTCACCAGCAAATAATCCAGCTGCAAATGGGCAAGGCAATGCTGTTGGACCCCCTACAAGTAGAAGCAATAGTTTCAAAACTGCTTCAACTAGTGAGTCTGCTGCTACTGCCAGTAGTGGATTCGGCAACAAAGAATCAGATTTTTCGCAAAACCTTCATTTACCAGAAGATATGGTACGAGACCACGAGTTCACAGAAAATGGATTTTTTAGCAGTTATCTCGATGACAACATGGACTATAGCTGGAAAGTACGAGAAACATAGTTTGTTGTGGTTTGATTTTGTCAGAAAGTCAACTGGCATCTCTGTGCAGGCTGTTTTATTTACCTTACCGATTTATTTTCATTTCTTTCCCCCAATTATGGAACTCGTGATTAATGTTGTGGAGTTCTATTTTAATTCTTATTTGTTGTACCATCTTTCATTTGTGGGTTTTATTGTCTGGAACTTCTTGCAAGTGTAACTATGGACATGAATGAATTCAAGAACCTCAACAGATTGGTGTTAATATGATATTTGCATCCTTCTTGAATATCATAAATATGAAAATCCACCAATTAATAAAGTTTCGGCATCTTTGATGCCTAGCAAACTCTCGTGTTCTCTACGTGTTTATGAGAGAACCATATGGGGGCTTACTTTGAACTTTTAGCAATAATGTGCCTAACCTGAAATCAAAAGAAGCGTATGATTCTCAATAATGACTTTTTCTTGAAAACGTGCACTTTACCAAAACCCAAAAATGGATGGAAACGTGAGTTCTTGAGGCAAACACTTGATGTATACCTCTTTTGGTTGATCCTTACTACATTACAGTGAGATGATACACACTAACAATATGCCATGCTCTACATCTTAGGCGCGTTGGGACTGGAGATAATTATAAAAACCATCATTGACTCAAACAAGCACGGTTGCTGCAGTATGGTATTTTACATCCACTGCAAACAATCTTTAGAAGACAATTACAGGGATACTGCTTGCACATACAAAGAGGAACTCCTATGCTTTATACACAAATAAGTACTTGATCAAAGTGAAATTATTTTAGAATAGTTTGTAAACTTGAAAACAGGTTATTCCAATATTAGAATGTAATGATGCAGCCAAAACCAGTAGGTGCAAGCAGAAGAAATATAGACCGTACTCTGTCAAGCAAGCTTTAACAAATTATTCTCCTCGAACCTCCTCTTGACACACTGGGCAATTCTGGGTGAGAGAGAGAGAGAGAGAGAGAGAGAGAGAGTTATAATTCCACATAAAGAGTTCTTGCAGATATGAAATGTGTTACAGAAACAATTTTACTTTTTTTTTTTTAAATGGAAACTGGTGTATGCAATAATGCTTAATTCACATTTATGCCTAAGCAATATACAGTCTATTTCTGATTTCTTATGAGTTCAGCATATGCCTTTTGTATGCGTACGCTTTAACATGGTGTGATGAAAATTCAAGCAGATGCACTAGCTCAGTTCAACAGATGTACTCTAGAAAAGGGCCGATAATTCTCAAAATGGAGTGATAAGCACGAATGATCATCACCTTACTGAGTTTCAACCAATGTGTAATGCATCCTGAATGATATTGGTGAGCACAAGGCAAAGTTACCAGCTTAGCTCCATTCTTGTATTCAGCACAACATATCACACACCTAGAATGTAGACAGAACACGTAAGACTAGTCAAAATTTTCTTTTCTTCTAATCTGTGAACGGAGCAATACATCATTTAATGTATTAAAGAGTATCTTCTGTGTACTTCATCATGCATTGAATGATGGATCGGCCATTAAAAATACTAGTCTCCCATCAAATACTTGACACCTACATCTCCAACTTCAGAACATATAGGCGAAAACACGTTTTACTAAGCTTAAAAGTTCCTTATAGGTAACTTTTCACTTTTTAATTTTTTTAGACTCAGCCAAGCATGCTCTCAAATAACATTAATCGGTTTGTTATTTTGGGTGAGAATGCACAAGTACTCGTCATCATAGATACATATTTCACTTAACATAAGAAATGTACAGAGCTCTAGTGCAGATTTGAGATCAGAGAGTTCCTACTCTTCTTTTTTCTTTTTCTTGGAGAACAACCCTGCTTTGTATTTAAAAGTCGGTAAACGAGAGATGAGATCATCTGAAAGTCCTTTGCTCTCATTGCCAACAGCTTCCCCTAGTGACAGCAATTCCTATAAACAGATAAAAAAGACTCATGGACTACAAATAATTTCTTATTTTTGAGCAAATAGTTTCAGAGTTGAACAAAATACAATATTCATGCTTTCAGATTAACCAACCTCATAATTCATAATATCTGGATCAATTTCATCTTCCCTTGTGTTTTGGACCGCCATCTGCATTTAATCACACAAACCAAGAATCACAACTTGAACTCTTAACATCAAGCTGCAAAAACACACCCAAAAAGGTGCACGAGTTTGCACAAGTACCCTGGCAGGTGTTACTCTGGAAGTTGAATCTGTGCTCTCTGCAGATCATGTAGATGAGAGGTCACTCTCAAAATTAGCATTAATGTATAATAAAAATTCAGGATGGCAAATAAAAGGAAGCAGAGCTTTTGTAGCAAGTAAACTATTAGATTTCATTGAGTATCAAGAGAAGAATATTGCTCTCCTCTCCACCAGACTGTTAAAAGTTTGGTCATGAAACTTTATTGTGTTCAAGTTAGTCACTCCATCCATATCTGCTAATTTGACCAACAAAAATGTAAATATTGGGCTTTTCAGTTGGCCAAACTAAGAGACATCGATGAAGTGGCCAAATATTACCAAATGTTTATGTTTTGTGACTGACTGACCAACATGAAACAAGATGAAGCTTCATAGTCAATTTCGCTAGAAGTTCAGTGGGCACCTGTGTTTTTGACCTATTTGGAAATATACAAGCTATATTACTGAATTTACATGAAGCTGGGATTTATTACCAACTATGGTGCCACCATGCTCAGAACTATATAAGTCGGCAAAGTTGTCCCCCAATTCCAAAGATCTAGCAAAAGCTTCATCAAGAGCTAATTGTGATTCATTCTCTTGTGCTGAAAACTGACTCCTATTGCTAGTTTGCCCATAGTCAGATGTTGAAACCTTTTCCTTTCCACTGGCTTGAATATATAGATATGCACTTTCCTGACATAGAACATAAAAGCAGTCAGACAAATAATATAGAAACAGAAAACAAGACTGTCACAGGTAAGTTTCCCGAAGTACCTGTTGTAGAAGGACGTCTTCAACATCAAGATCACCAAACTCGGGATAAATCTCTTTGAAGTGTGCAGCAATTTCAGATGGGGTCATACCATTCAGATAATGGTTGTATGCCTCATTGTTACTCATCATGGATGTTTCAGACATTATCAGAGAATATCTTTTTACGACCTGCTTAAAATTATACTAATAATCAGTAGAGGTTGGAAAATTTCGGAAGCAGCAGATAAAGTGCTCACAGAAACTCAAGTTCATAAATCAAGCAGTTCAAGAAAGGTACAAGCACATGCCATTTCCAAGAAAGTGAGCCATGATTTTCGTATTACATTCACGCTCGGCCATTAGTAGTATCAAAGGAAATGTTTATACCTATATATACGAGTCACTATAGAATCTTGATCTTGAAATTACTAAAAAAAATTATTTTCTTTTTGCCACCATTTTCTCCAAGCATTCTTGTTGATCAGGGTGCTAATATAACAGGTGATAAGGATTGGCTTCATTACAGGGACATATTATGTCTACCGCTTTAGAGGACAGAGGACAACCCCAAAATAAAAACTTTATAACTCCCCAAGACAAAGCAATATTTAATAACAACGACGGGGAATATTATGGAAACTATTATTATATGAGAAAGATTACATTTTTCTTCTGCTCTATTCATAAAATAAACAGAATTGTGGAGGACTCCACTTAATTGTTTTATTTTTGTTAATTACGACTGGGAAACAAAGATTTTCCAAGGAAAAAAAATATATATATATTTATGCGTGCATCTCCCAATAGGTGCAAAATGACTATTTTAAGTTATTTACTTTGACCAACAAAAATTTTGGTCCAACATTAAATTAATCTGTTAAGATATTGACGTTCTAATTTATTGATGTTTATACACATTTCAGTAAGTTGAAGATTTTAGAAGAAAAACTCAACAAATAAGAAAAAAACCTATTTCACAGACATAAATTCCAAGAACTTTCTCACACCTAAAAAGATTCATAAAAGCTTTCTGAATTTTAACTCTCAGACTTCACAATCGGAACACATTAACTTAAGTTAAAACTAAGAAATGTGATTAAAGCCACTCAATTCACATAGCAACACAGAATTGTTGAAGCAATCTTATGAAATTCAACAGACCCATTATTCTGAACCCAGAAATCCGCCAAGATCTTTCTTGGGTATGAATGCTGAGAACAAACTTATCAGATTTGAGCCAAAAAAAACCCAGAAAAAAGTCTCGAAATTAACACTCTAAATTACAGAATAAAAGGAAATGGAATCACCTTTATGTTGAGATTTGTGGGTTCTTGATTTTACCCTAGATTCTCTATCTTTCCTCTCTGTAACTGAAGTCTTCACTCTTTTAAGTGAGTACCAAAAGATCCAAGTACAGAAATAAAGTTCACTGACAATAAAGATAACATTTTTATATTTGGGAGCTGGTGCCAAAAATGGTGTCCTCCTACTTGACTTTTATCTGCTAAAATATGTGGACTATGGAATGGAAATAATAAGCCAATAATCCACAGTGCCGACCAGCAGCCATTAAAGGTGCCTCTATGATGCCTATTATTAATGAATAAAGACAAATCTCATTTCTCAAACTTCTTCCATTTTAGCAAGAAATTTCTTAGCCATAAAACACTGAAATCAGTTCTTTTTTCATTGTTATTTAGCCTTTTTGGAACTTCATTCTTAAAACTTTATTTTTTTTTTCAAATTTTTTATCATACTTTTTCTCAATAAAATAATTTTATATATAAACTCAAATTTTTTTCATACATTTTCATAAAATAAGTTTTTAAGATGAATTACTTTTTACAAAAGTCTATTTGAAAAATGAGTAGTGCTATGTGTACACACAATTTTTTACACAATGTATTCCACCCCCTCACAAGGAGGGGGGCCCACGATTAATTTATTATGTGTGTTTTTACACAATGTTTTACACCTCCTCATATGGAGGGGGGCCCACAATTATTTTATTATGTGTGGACCCCCCTCCGTGTGAGGAGGGTGTAAAACATTGTGTAAAAAATTGTGTACACATAGCTTTATTCTTGAAAAATAGAGCTCCACCAAGACTTGATTTTTGAAGTCATGGACCATATATTGTCTAGGGCAGGTTGGTTTTCCTTTTCACCGTCATTCTTCTCTATTTAAGGCTTGTCTATCGAGTAAAAAAATAAGGGATAATTGTAGCAGAGGCTTCAAACCTTTAAAATAGTTGCAGACTTTTCCTGATTTTTCATTCGTTGCAATCGTCGCCCCTAACCTTTCGCAACGTTGCGGCTGAAGCCCCAATGGATGGATTTCATCCAAATGTCTGTTAGTTGACCAAGAAATTGAGTTTGACCACATTTTTTTATATCTTTTGTAAAGGATAAAATAGTAACTTTCAATTTACTATATTCAAATAAGTTGAAACTAATTTAGAGAAATAAAAAAATGTAAAGAAAAATAACAACTGTACATCTTCTTTATCCCCTGATAAGTGTGGAAAAACACACTTATTTGGCACTTTTCTGTATTTAATTGGAAATGAAATTGAGTTTATTTCTAAACATAATTGTGTAATTTTCACGTTTGTAGGCTAAAACCCCGATAAAAAGAAAAACGGAACGAAAAAGGATGAAAATGGACTAAAAGTGAACAAAATGGTGAAGTTGGGGGACTGAAATGCAAAAGCTTGAAAGTTGAAGGACTTGAAGTGTAATGTTTAAAGGGCCTAACTGAAGTGAAGGTCAAAAATTCAAGGACCAAATTGTACAAGATCAAAGTTGAGGGACTATTTTGTAACTTAACAAAAGTTTAGGGATCTTTGTTGCAAATTTTCCCTAGATCTTTTGGTTAACTTAATAGCTAAGCAAAACAAAAATATCTATCCTATATTTGAAAGTGCTGGGATGTTTTTTTTGGTATAATAGTGTAGGATATTTTTAGTTTTAGGTTTTTTTAAGTTTTAGTTTAGGTTTTTATTAGAATTCTCTCTAAGTTTTCTTCTTCCTTTTCCGTTTCTTTTCTTTTTCTTTTCTTTTCTTGGTGTTCTTGGCTCATATTTTGGAGAAGAGAAGTTGATAGCAAGGGGATCAAACATCAAGAAAAGCTTGGAAATCCATTGGAGGGATTCAAACTTGATCTTCAAGGGGTTTATCTTAACTTTTGAATTCCTTTATTAATTTTCAAGTTTGTAATGTATTGTATCATGAATCTCTTTATTATTATCTTTATAAAATGAGCTAAATTTGTTGTGTTGGAATTTATGAATTGAACTTAACCTAGTTTGTTTCATTGATTATCGATATATCTACATGTTTAGTGATAAATGCAGTTGTTATCAAAATCATAGTGTATTGATCATCATGTTTAAAATGATTTCATTTTTGGTGACGCTTAGATGGAATTGTTAGGTTTTACTTCATTTTTGGTGACGCTTAAATGATAGTAATTAATATTGATGTGATTGTTGAAAAATAGTTGCATTAAATAGATCAAAATGATCAATGCCATGAGTTTGCTTGGTGTTCCGGCGCATCTAGGTGATGTAGAGATATACATCTACCTCATGTGATCCATTGAGCTATTTTCACAGAAACTCATGCTGTTGGCTATGTTTATATTGACATAGAGATATGCTTTATAGATACGTCGATTAAGGTTAATATGACTTCGAGAGGGGGTATTAACTATAAAAGGAGAATCGGGTCTAACTATGGCATTTTGATAATATGCATTGGCACATAATTGGTTCGAGATCAATGAAACAATAGGTTAAGCGACATCGTAAATTCCAACCACACTTTTCCCTCCGAAATTTGCCAAGACACCTTTATTTTCTTATTTTGTAAACTGTTAGTTTTTATCTTATGTCTTTAAATGTGTGTGTGTTCCTTTTGTCATTAGAATTAAAATCGATTAGAGTGCATAATCCAAAGTATACATTCCTCGTGGGATCGACAATCCGGACTCTTAAGGTCCACTTTATTACTTGAACGCGATCCGTGCGCTTGCGGTACGATTTTAAGCGAACATCCCCCCAAACCCATCGCCACTCTAAAACCCATCCAACCACCTATTGGCATTGATTGAGGTCATGGGCCACAACCCACCACCGTCACCCCTCACACGCAGCAAATCATAACCCATGTCTTATTACAAAAATCACAACATAACAATTTGCAGCTAGTTATGGCAAAAAAGCTCGCCCGCTTGGGTTGCTCTGGCCCGGCTCGGAAAAAGCTTGAGTCGGGCTCGGCTCAGGCTCGGTTGCACCGAGCCAAGGCTCGGGCTGAGCCCTATTTTGGGGCGTCGGCCCGAGTCGGGCGGGCCTGTGTCACGGGCCGAAATGGCCCAGCTCGTATTTAAAAAAAAATTAAAAATGTCTGCATTTACAAAAAATTAATACTTATTTTTTGGAGTTTCACGTGACCACTTTTGCAGTTTTTCAGCTTTTTGCAGAATTTCAGCTGATTTGTTGGTCAAACTTGTATGGTTTTGATGTGGGTTTACTTGTAAGGTAGCCTGCTTTGGAATTATCTTTCTAGTTGCATGCTATTTGACCTTTTGGAAGACTTCCAAGTGATCAAATACATATCTTTGGATTTAGATTTTGTAGAATTTTAGAGGGCAATTTCAAGTCAAATTTCGTAAAATCAAATCGTGTGATATCTCTACTTATACACCTAATCTATATACCCTAGGCCTAGCTAGATATGTATGTACAGAGACTCTTTGTGTTTGAAAGTTTGAATACAAAAAAATTCTTAAGTTCAAATTTATTTTTCATACAAGAACACTTTGAAAATATTATTTAAATGACTTTTTTTTTTAAATTATTTTCTCTATTATCGACTTTTTTTTTTATCTTTGTTTGGTCATGGCAAAATTTAGATTCTTTAAAAAAAAAATTTTAATTTGACACGGAAAAAAAAAAAAACTGAACCGACTCGGCCCGCTAAGGCTCGAGCCAAAAGCTCGGGCCGATCCTCATTTTTTTTGGCCAGTCTAGGCTCGACTCGACTCGACCGTTGACATAGCTATTTGCAGCTATTCTGGCTTCCTTATCTCAACCACTTTCACTCCTACCCTTCTCAACGCTGCACTAGCCACACAAACACACAATTGACAGTGTGCCCTCTGTCGTCGAAGTTCAATGCATAACTTAAGGGATTATACTGGAATTGTTGCCTAGAGAATTTTTTTGGAAGAATCCAAATGAAGTTAACAAACCAGTAACCGCGGGTGCTTAGCCATCGGATATTGCACTCTCACCCATGGCCTGAATGTGCGATCCAACAGGTCATGATTCGTCACCGGTTGGAATGAAAATAATATCTTTTATTTCCTTATCACACCGACTACCATCGACTGTCTTCTGCTGTTCCTCTGTTGTCGAAATCCATCCCCAGTTATTGGATTGTTAGGACCTAAAACTCCATTTTCTTTACAGGAGAATTTTGAGATTGTCTGATTTTGATTTTAAGGATTTTGGGGGTTGGGGTGTGGGGTAGGTGAAAAAGATTATAGATAGTTTATTTATTTCATTAGTTTTTAAAAGATAATTTCATAAATATAAGATTGCCATTATGCCCTTTTAAAATTTATAAGAAAAGTGATCAATCTCAATTTTTTGGCCAACTAACAGACATTTGGATGAAATCCATTCATTGGAGCTTTGGCCGCAACGTTTCGAAAGGTTAGAGGCGACGTCTGCAACGAATGAAAGGTCAGGGAAAAGTCTGTAACTATTTGAAAGATTTGGGGTCTCTGCTGCAATTATCCCAAAACATGTGACTCAAGTTCAACAACCTTTTTTGGTGTATTTTTTTTATTTAGACTTTGAATCACATATTTAGGCCCTGTTTGGGAGGAATTAAATTTTTCTACAGTAAATCAATTCTCATTTTCAACCACACTACAAAGTTATTTTATTATAAAATGTAGTGTAGTTATTAAAAAAGAAGAAAAAGTTGGTGTGTAAAGGGTAGTATAGTGATAAGTTTTAGTTAAGAAGGGGGTTTTTAGAGAGGGTTTGTTCGAGAATTTACAACCTTACTGACCAGACGTGTCATGTTAAGGGGTGTTTGATGCATATTATTGAGAAGAAAATGTATTTTATGATGTGATGTAATGGAAAATATATGGTAAAAAAATAAGGAAAAATTTTGAATTCGTGTGTAATATTATTTTATTGAAGAATGTGTGGTTGAAAATGAGTATTGAAAGAATGAATTTTGGGAAGAATGTGGATCAAACATGGGCTAATGTTCAAATTTTGAATAGTGAATTTATTCCAAATAATATAGACATTTTACAAATAATAATAATAATAATAATAATAATAATAATAAAAGGTGAATCTCCACTTCCCTCAACGACACATTTCGATTGAACTATCTTACAGAAAAATGAATCATTTTCCTTGTCTTTATGCTGATTATATCAATTTCAGATTTGCAAAAATAGGGAAAATCGAAATAGAATAAAATTCTACAAATTTTTCTCTCTGTGTCTCCTTTGAAATTCATTCCATACTAGTTAAAAGTTTTAATATTTCAAAATAGATACATATTACATTATTACATATACATATAGACCATTGTCACCATTTTTGTTGCCTAAATGAAATCGGTTATCCAAATATCACTACATTTTTGTTAAATTCTTTATCTACTATGTTATGCCTCATTGACTATTATGTAGTCCTCCTTTTCAATAGTGTATGATAAAATATTTGAATATTGTCTTAAAATCTAAAATCTAAATATTTAACCCTTGAGGATCAACAATATATTGTTGTAGCAATAAAATTCATAATTTTATTATTTTTTTGCAAGTTCTTTTCTCTTAAAATAAAATAATTAAAAATGACCTATTCGGGCTGCCGGTTTATAAAGCCATGTTGGCCCAGCTAGTGTGACAGCCATATGCATGCATAAACCAATAGAGGAAATTACACAAAACTAGATTTTTAAAAATTCAATTTCAAAAATCAGATTGGAGGTTTTAACTTTTCAAAAATCAGACATTTTATTTTAAATATTAAATATTAATTGTACAATTTCCATCCCAAAGCCTAATCAGTTTCATTTTAATTTTCCTCCTCCTTCTCTCTTCTCTCCTCTATCTTTCCATTCTCTCTACCTTCTCTCTTCTCCACTCTCCGATCTCCTCGCTCTCCGTCGGCAGTTAGCCTCCATGCAGCAACCTTCATCCCGTTCCCAACCGCTATCTTCATCGCCGGTAGGTAGTGTTGGGGGCACTGCAATCCGAATCTTTCGGGCGCGGCTGTGAAATCATTTCGACGTTCAGTTCCCAGCCGCCGTCTTCATCTGGTTCTCTGATGTTTGGATCTTATTTTTGGTGTTTGGTTCGTGGTGGTTGTGACTTTGGCGCGATGTTTGGTGTTCGGTTCTACCGGCATCCCGTTCCCAAATTTTCGTCTTCATCCCGTGTTTGGTGATGGCGATATCGATGTTTTAGCTGTTGGTATGGAGATGGCGGTGTGCTGTGGTTCTGGTGGTTGGTTGGTGGGGGCGCAGTGGTTATGGCGACCTCGCGGAGTGGTTCCAAGCAGTGCGCCTTCTCAGGTTTGACTTTTGTTTTTGTGCTGGTGGTGGCGTTGGTGTCATGGAGGTGGCATGGTGTCGTGGTTTGTTGGTTGTGGTGGTGGCGGCGGCGTCGCTGTGGTGATGGCGACAACAACGTAGTGGTTTTCTTGGAGCTATTGATTGTGGTGGTTTTTATTGGTGGCGTTGATGGTGGATCGACGGTTGGGATGATTTTTTGTTGGTTCTGACAGTGGATCTAGCAATGAGAATGGTGATTTTGTAGTTGAAAATGGTGGTTTGTTGGTGATTGTGGTGGCGAGATATTGAAAATGGTAGTTTGGTTGTAGTGGTGGCAGAAAGGCTGCATTGCTTTTGGTTGTGCCATGGTGGATTGAGATTGGGTGGGTGGTGGGATCAATAGTGTTTGTGACTAATGTGATCGATTGTGACTATTAAATAATATGTGATCTAAAATTTTAATTGTAACTTATAAAATTTGTAATTTGTGACCAATATATAGATTGTGACTTATAAATTGTGATAAAAAAATAATGTGTGACCTAAAATATTGTTAACTTGTGATTGATAATTTGAAAATTTGTGACTCATAAGTTGTGACATATAATAATTGTGATTTATGATCTATAAATAAATTGTGACCTATAAATTTTTTGAATTGTAACCGTAAAATAATTTGTGACCAATGAATAATATGTGACTTACTAATTTAATATATTTGTGACCAATTAATAAATTGTTACATAAATTTTTGATTTATGACCGATGAACAAATTGTAATCTATAAATTTTTTAAATTGTGACCGTAAAATAATTTGTGACATACAAAAATTATGATTTGTGACCAATTATATGAAATTGTGATCTTAATATATTTAATAAATAAAATTTATGTTTAATTAATTAATTTATAAATAAAATTTAAACAACTCTGAAATTTGAAATTTTAAAGAATATCTTAAATTTGAAATTGGTAAAACTAAACCTCTTATTTATGTAAGAGTAATGCTATTCTTCCCAAACCAATACTCCTGATTTGTGTTCAGGGTAAATTTTGTGTTTTAACAATTCTCAACCAGCAGGTATGTAGAGAAGTCTTGTACATGATTCTTAAGAGGTTACTACAGTATAAAACTTCCACGTGCACACGCTCACGCTCACAATATAAACATAACCCTCGAACACTTCAGCTATCAGGCAAGAGCTTTTAGTCACCTCCGACTTGTCTTTTCCAGGAGTCTTCCACTATCAATTCATCAACTCCCCAGTCTTCGTAACTGGTTTATACCACAAGATAATCAGGAGACATAAATACTGGAAAATGGGAACGAGAGACTAAATAGAGAAGAGAGTATTTTGAGTAAATAGAGAGTGATACCTTCCATCGGGGAGGTAACGACGAATGGTGAATGGTATCTTTCGCTCGCGCAGCTCCTTCATTGCAATCTAAGAGAAGGGTAGAGCACAACCAAAAGGTATGAAAATAAGAAACCACATCAACTAAGCTCAAAATCGCTCTCTGAAATTCAACAGATAGATGTGGACCATGAGTTCATCTACAAATTTTCAAGTGTACAATGATACAAAGAAAAATAAATAACATTACAAACCCCAATGCACCATCTAGCAAGGAGATTTGTGAAGCGCTCTCTAAATTCCATTTTTATGCCATAAAACCACCCAGTCAAACACACAACAAATTACATGTGGTATTATACACGTGACACCACTAATATTTTTTATAGTATTGAATAGGAAAAAGAAAATAATTAGATACAAATCCTGCTAAATCTAAAAGAAAAGAACAGTGTGCAATGTCATTCATCTCCCACTTTAATCAAAGCATGCTTAAGTCATACGCAATGCCATAACAACAGGAAGACTGGCAGCAAGACGGTTAAAAAAAATGACACCTGTCTAAGGGCAAATAAAAGCCGAAGTGCTAAGATTCATGGTAGAAGAGAGTTGTGAAGATGCGTCACCAACTTGGAGGAAATTTCCAGATTATTGTTAGTGCTTCATCCCCTATCTTATCTCCATTTTTTATTAATTTCTTCATTTTTGCATTTTTTTCAATAACCCCCTTATATACAAGAAGTGCATGGAGAAATTTTGAAGTTCACTACCATATTTGGAATTATGTAGAATAATGGAGAAATTTAGTGCTTCATCCCCTATCTTATCTCCATTTTTTATTGATTTCTTCATTTTTGCATTTTTTTCAATAACCCCCTTATATACAAGAAGTGCATGGAGAAATTTTGAAGTTCACTGCCATATTTGGAATTATGTAGAATAATGGAGTCCGCAATTCCACCATCATTAGCAAGTATAAACAGAATATGGATGTATTGTAATATGAATGTGAGAGAATAAGAGAGATCATTGAGCAGCCAAGTAATGGTTGCTAGTTAGTGGAGTTGTGGCTGTCCTTTTGTTAAATAATAAATTAGTTAGAGGTGTGTGTTTGCTCAACTTGTACAAGTCTTTTTATAATTCAATTCCTATTTTTTTTAAGCTCGTCAATTTCTTAACAGAGAGAGACCACGAAGTACAAGGCGATTTTTCGAGTTTCCAGAGACCCTGCACAAGTTGGAATTGTGAAGCTTTCATTAATCTTTCTTGGTATGGAGGAGGTTAACCAAGTTATGATGAGTGACTTACAAGTGGTAGGTGGGATGAACAAGTTCAATTATCAAAATTACAACACGTAGTAGACATGCATGAATCCATATCAACAAAGTCAAGACTTCTGGGAGGAAGTCGACAGCAGTGACAAATAATGTCGGGGCACTAAAGAAATGGCAGATTAAAGCAAACATGACCATTTTTGAGATCACGACAACAATCGAAGTGGAATTGTTGGAGCATACAAGGGACACAAACACACTGATAAAGCATGGGACACCTTTGCAGGACGATTTTGAGAGAAACATGATATGAGGTTGCAACTTCTGGAGAACGAGCTATTATCGATAGCTCAAGGGGAGATGCAATAGGCCAATACTTCAACAAGGTAAAGTCTCTTTCTCTCTCTCTCTCTCATGTATCTCTGACTTAGATTCTACAATGTAAAATTTCATAATCAAGGATAAGAAGAATTATTATACATGGATTGAGACGCTTTATCTCCTTAATACAAGGTTGACCGAAACATTATTTAGCTAAAGGAGAGGTTTCACCCAACAACAAAGAATCAAAAGAAGATAAGTTTGAAGAAAAAGAAATAGGTTCTCAATAAAGTAAAGACCAACAATATTGCTATACGAGAAAATAATCATCCAAGGTGTTTAGGTGGAGTAATTATGTAATTAATCATCATATGAGTGTGGTAAATGAAGACATTATGGTAGAGATTGTTGGCCTATGAAAAAGTTGGGACGTTATAGAAACTCCAACGAGAAAGAGAAATATAATAGTAACGATGAATGGAAAATCAAGGAGTCCGCCAGAGTAATTGCAAAAAAACTCAAGGAGTGATTACCTCCGAGCTATGTGCAGAAAAAGGCAAGGATTTGGAATTGTTAATTAATTATTTAATTAAATCGCCAACAATTCAACTTAAACAGCAAGGGATTCACTACTTGAAACTTGGGTATATATGCTAAAATTCTTTTAAGTGATTACTCTAAAAAAAATCAGATTTTATTGGAAAAGGTGAACAATCTATTGAACCTTGGATATTTAGCACAATCACGATTCTATAATGAAAAAGATAATTAATATGTATGCAAGAACAATTAGATCCTCTTTAGTTTAGATAAAAAATAGATTTTCACTAGATTTTGGTAAAAGTTGATTAAACATGTCATTGAAAAGTTTATATACGTGGTGGCTCCCATGAAGTGTGCAATTTAAAATGAATTTCAGTAAAAAATGAGGCCAAACACGGGCTTAGCCTTTCAGTTTCCATATACTCTGTTATTTCCAGATCAATAAATCAAAGGTAACAAGTAAAAGAAAGCTAATACATTCATTGTCATTATTCCCAAATTTACCTCAAGTGGATCGGTTTCGCCCTCCAACTCAACCATCACTGGAGCATTCATGCTGCAAAACCAAAAACATTCCTCCAAGTCAAAAACTACTCAATCAACTCCAAAAGTCTTAACAAAATTTCCAACCCTAAAACCATAAAACGAAACACACCTAATCTGCAATGCCCGTGTACCCAAAATCCTCGCTCGCTCATATTTGGTCATATACTTGGACGTTTTCCGAGGGCGTTCAACAGGTTCTGCCTCCTGTTTCTCTTCGCCTTCTCCTACAATGTCATCCGGAGCATCCTCATTGTTATTATTCTCTTCTTCCAACTCTACACCTTCCTATCAATTGCCACAAAAAAAAAAAAAAAAGTAAAATTAATCACCGATGGACCACGAAACATTTTAAGCGAAAATATGCAAACATAAAAATAAATAAAGCTTCTTACATCGGGTTCTGGATCAATTGGCTCATCTTCGTATCTACAAAAATTCAAAAATTCCAGTTAGTGAAAACGAAAACCCTAGCTAAACCCTGATCTCAATAAATTAGGTTTGAGAACAAAAAAAAAATTAGAAAAATGTAGAATTGTAAAGACCCTCCGTCCATCTCGTAGTCCTCATCGGCCATTGCGTCTGTGTTGGTTTCGCGATTTGATTGTGGGAAAGGAAGAACGAAAAGAGGAATGCAGAGGGTGCGTATATCTGTATGATATTCTAATGTGTTGTGCCTTCAGATTAACGAGAGGATAATTATACTAGTACAATAGAAACAAAAAATATAATATAATATCGTAGTGTACTCATCCTCTCAATACACGTCATTTTTATTTTATTTTTTCTTAGAATATGTTTTTCTTTTTCGTCTTTTCATCTCCATTGTGTTGACGCATTGCAAGTTTTTCATTATTCACCCACAATAATTTAACTGCAACATATATGACTTAGATGTAGTGTCCATTTACCCTCAATAGTTAGTTTCCATAATTTTTTCTCAAGACTTCTCTGAATTTTTAATTCCACCCCCAATAATTTAACTGCAACATATATGGCTTAGGTATATTGTCCATTAGGGGATTTGCTTAAAAGAATCAGTCAACAATAATCTTTGGAAAAATAGTCCATCTCAATAGTTATTGTTTCAAGAGCCTTTGGTCTATTAAATTATACATTAAAAGTTTTAAATTATACATTAAGAGTTAATTTAATCAGTGCCTACTGAATTTTACCCAAGGTTACTACTTGCTCACTGAAGTATAAAAGGTTACTCAATGCTCACCGAACTATGTATAAGTTTACCCATCAATCACCCATCCTAATTCCGTCTACACAGCCGGAGAAAATTGTCTACGTGGTGGATGGAAAAATGACATGGCACTACACGACGTAAATTTTCCACACCTAGGATAAAAACGCTGCTGACTTTTAAGAAAGGCGTGTTTCTCTAATCTCTTCAAAACAAACCGCCCCCATTTCAATTACAACTCACACAGGGAAGTGAAAATCCCCAATTTCAATCGAACCCTAGGAAGAACACCATCTTCAATTCGCATGGAATTCTCTCCACCCACTTCTCAGATTCGTGAACAACAAAGCCTACACTAACAATCGATTTGGGGATATTGTATTTCGTGGGCTTGGGGCCATTTTTTATTTTTTACTTTTTGAAAAATGATGGGAGTGTTTTGCAATATTCAAAGACTGTGGGCTTGGGGCGATTTTGTATTTTTTATTTTTTGAAAAATGATGGAGTGTTTTGCAATATTCAAAGACAAGTCGAAATCTCTGGAACCGAGATCGGCGCCGGAATTGAGTAATCCACTGGTTCAGCTTCATCAGATAATTTGGATTCAAGGCGGGTATCCAAATCCACTGGTTCGGCTTCATCCCCTCGGAGAAAAAGAGCAGAATTTGAGGGTTTTTTCTTTGTCAGAACAGGCTGCAGAAGATTGGGGAAGGTGGTTTTGGTAGTGTTTATAAAGGTACAATTTTGCCTCCAAATGGGCAGGGAGATTATGTGGTTGCATCCATCTGAAGAAGCCCGTTTCTGTTATACTCCGAGGGGATGAAGGTGGTTTTGGTAGTGTTTATAAAGGTACAATTATGTGATTGGGGAAGTTGCTGATAATGCTATGTTTGTAATCTGATGGAGGTAGTTTGGTGGTGCTGGCTTTTCTGGGATTCCCAGTTTTGAACTTTGGCTTGATTAATTAGGATGGTGTTGGCCTTGGTCTGTTATGTTGGCCTTGGTCTGTAGAAGTTGTAGTTGGTAGGTGGTGGTTGTTGTATCATCTATGTTTATTGGTTTGTATGTTTGTTGCTTTGTATGTTTGTTGTAATTGTAATAGAGAGATGACTGAGAAATGAATGGTGTTCTTGTGCTGTTGCTGTGCCAAGCCATCTAAAAAATTTCATAACATAACAAAACAAAATAAAACATTACAGAATATGCTTAAAGGTCACTTGTTTAGGAACATTGAGCAGCTTAAAGGATGGAACCAGGAGAAAGCCAAAGTCTAGGAACATTGAGCAGCTTAAAGGTTACTTGTTTCATAAGCATAAGCTCATCATGTGCAGCTTATGCTTGGAAGGACGGAAGTATTTGTTACAGCTGATGTCCGGCGAGTTCCAAAATTGATGGTAGCTGTACAAGAGAATCATTACCAGTCGTGACTACACTAACAATCTCACAGCTGATGCAATGGCAAGCAGCTCTTCCTCAACTTTTTTCCAGACTCAATCGACCATCAGACAACCTATGACCCCTTCAGAGTTGGCCTTGGTCTTTAGAAGGTGTAGCTGGTGGTTGGTGAATCATCTTGAATTTCTATGTTTGTTGGTTTCTCCATTTATAAGACTTGGTAATGTAATTTCAATAGACAGATGATTGAATGAAATGAATGATATGCTTGAATGATATAGACTGCTGTTATCATTGCCTAAGTTGTTGTCACAAACCCAAATTGCCATTTTATAAGAAGTGACCAAGATGCAAGGTATCATATATAATAGGCAAAAGGAAGTTCATTGCCACACTCCAATGGAAGTTGAAATGTAAAACAAAGAGGGCAGAATTAGAAAGAAATATTCCATGTGAAGAAAAAGTAGGATTACAAGGTGGAATCCTCAGTTACTGCTCTGAAAAAAAAGTAGGATTCATGCAGGCATGGACACCCATGCTAACAGGGGACTCATCAATTCCAGCATCTTTACACAAAAAAAGAAACAAAGCAGCCAATATCACAAAAGGATCATTTCCTTTTATTTTTTCTTCGTTCCTGGTGGTGCAAATGGAACTAACCCTCGAACGACCCTTTTATTTTTTATCATGGCTGCCCTCTTCCTTGCTTTTTCTTGGTTCTCTATACTTGTAGTTCGCATCTGCGGAGGAGCTTCCTCCATTGTTGAACTACCTGGCTGATTAAGTGGAGGACCATAGTTGTTGAATTGCGAAGCACTTGTTATACGATGGCAACCGAGCGATTGATCAAATTCTAGATTCTTGCACAGAGGCGATAATGCTTTCGAAATTCATTGATCACTCGTTTTTTCTTGAAGAAATTCCACGCAACAATCGAATAATTCCTACAGCCAAAGGTCAATGCATGACATTAAGATCAAACTTTTAGTACAACATCCAGCAGCAAGAACCCACACAAGAACAAACATTTTTTTATCCAGGAAATACATCTTTTCTAAAATCCAAAGTAGCAATCTCTCAATATAGTCTCTGTTTACGTGGGCACATACAAGTATTTAACTGAAGGGCAGCACAAGATAGTGTTTTATAGGGTGATTGAGGGTAAGGAAAACATCAAGATTTCAAAATACTGAATTTGGATAAGTAAAAGGGAATGGAAAATTATGTAAATGTTTCCTTCCCTTTCTCTCTTCATAAACTCACTGTTAACTCACTGTGAAAAATTATGATCAATCACAGAAGATGTTCTTACCAAGGATTGGAATTGAGGAGGAATACAATTTGGGGAGGATCGATTTCCATGGACAGCGATTTTCAATTTCGGCAGTGAACGGCGATTTCAATTTTGACGGTGGACTTCGATTTTCAATTTGGGTGGAATTGGAGAAGAGAGAAGAATTGCTGGTTCCATTTCCGTTTGGATCTGTTTGGCTATTTACAGAGAAGTGTTTGGCTCTTTTTAAAATGATGTGTATATTTATTTGCCATATCATCTGCCACGTGGGCATTTTTGTCCACCTAGATAGACGGAATTAGCTTCAGTGATCGATGGGTAAACAAATAAATAGTTCAGTGAGCATTGAGTAACTTTTTATATTTCAGTGAGCAAGTAGTAACCATGACTAAAGTTCAGTAGGCATTCATTTAATTAACTCTGGGAAAGGAAGAACGAAAAGAGGAATGCAGAGGGTGCGTATATCTGTATGATATTCTAATGTGTTGTGCCTTCAGATTAACGAGAGGATAATTATACTAGTACAATAGAAACAAAAAATATAATATAATATCGTAGTGTACTCATCCTCTCAATACACGTCATTTTTATTTTATTTTTTCTTAGAATATGTTTTTCTTTTTCGTCTTTTCATCTCCATTGTGTTGACGCATTGCAAGTTTTTCATTATTCACCCACAATAATTTAACTGCAACATATATGACTTAGATGTAGTGTCCATTTACCCTCAATAATTAGTTTCCATAATTTTTTCTCAAGACTTCTCTGAATTTTTAATTTCACCCCCAATAATTTAACTGCAACATATATGGCTTAGGTATATTGTCCATTAGGGGATTTGCTTAAAAGAATCAGTCAACAATAATCTTTGGAAAAATAGTCCATCTCAATAGTTATTGTTTCAAGAGCCTTTGGTCTATTAAATTATATATTAAAAGTTTTAAATACCCTTAAATTGAAATGATTAAAATCACCACTTTGAAGTTTTATTTACCATATCCCTAAACATAAATCCCTCATAATCCCAATCCCCATAATCGTTCTTCAACAGAACGTTTCCAAACTCGCACCATATTAGACCACCTTCAAATTCAGCTTTCTTCTTCTTTATATATATTTTCTACGCTGAAGTTTCTTTATTTGAACCAAGGACAAATCAAACACAGCAATTTTTGGAAATGGGTAAGCAAGAATCGATTTCAAACAATCGAGGATATGCTTTATTATTTGAAAATTAACAATTTCTTGTTATTTTCTTGTTGTATTATATGAAAAATTGATTGGGTAAGCAACATTTGCTGTAAAATATAAAAACGAAATGGTGCCCTTTTTCTGTAGTTGGGTGCCCTTTTTCTGTAATTGAGTTCTGTTGTTATTTGATAATGGTGGAATTGATGTAGTTGATTGCAAAGTAGTCGTTCCTGAATTCTTTTATAGCATTATATTATTTGAAAGAAATTTAAATAGAAACNTGAATTCTTTTATAGCATTATATTATTTGAAAGAAATTTAAATAGTAAATACACGTTTGAAACTACACGTGCCATTTCTTATCTAATTTAAACATGTTATATAACAATATTTGTTGTCTTCTGTTTATTATTGAAGTTCTATTTTATAGTATTCGGTTTTGATAATTAATAGAATAATATATTACATATTTTTTGGTGAATTGCAGATATAGACTCTGTTGCCATGATCGTCATTTGTTATTTTGTTGAATTTGAAAAAAGTGATCAAAGTGGATGAATTTGGAAATGGATAGGGAATAATCAAGACACAACAACAAATATTTTTGTGTCAAAAAATATTTCCTATATGGCGTTGTATGAGGAAGTCAGACTAGCGATTAAGGTTGCTTCTGTCATGTATGACATCGAGCTGAAATTTCTTGTACTTGGCAAGGCGCAAAGTTATCAGTTCCACTAATAAAGATTAATTGTGATAGGGATGTTAGTTGGTTTCTCTATTTGTACAATCAAGTTCCAATTTGTGTAACCCTTGTGGAAAATGGTTATGTTGATGATCAATTATGATTGTTTTTGCTAGATTGTGGTAGTTTTGATAAATTCTGATACCTGTTTCGGTCTGATAGAATTTAACTATGACAGCAGCATTGTTTGTTCATATTAAAACGACAGATGCTCATTTTAAACGTATGACTGACGTTTGTATTCATTTCGTGTTCATTTATGTTCCTTCACGTGTGTTATGGATGTATGAATGTTTAAAATTGTTGAACATGAGTTTTAGATTGTGATGGTTTTAGTTAAATTCTTATACCTATTTTGATCCAAGTTTTTGGTAACAATTACACCAGGACTTTGTTCAGACTAAAACGTCATCTGGTCGTTTGAATTGTATGGTTGACGTTTTTTTTTTCTAATTTAGAGTGTGTATCCATTCATTCAAGTTAGTTGTGTATGGATGAAGGACCATGGTTGAAATCAATACCCCGTGACCCAAAACGGCAATTAGTTGTTTTAAACGTGTAGATGACGTTTATGCTCATTCAGCGTTCGTTTCGGTTCATTCGTTCCCGTAACAACGTAAAAGTGCCCAGCTGATGGTTTTAATTACTTTTCCACACATTTGATCAGTCTATTGTCGGGCTTGGAAACTACCCGACACTTGGCAATAAAAGAAAAACGTAAGTAGCAAGTATGGTATCTAACCCATGGCGCGTGCAGTCCGTCCAATGATCGCGAGTCATGCATGATGTTTCGAATATTGTTTTACTAGTTCCGGAGTGAAATCGATACCCCGTGACCCAAAATGGCATCTGGTCGTGTTGAACGTCCAGTTGATGTTTTAGCTCATTCAGCGTTCGTTTCGTTTCATTCGTGCTCGTAACCATATAAAAGTGGTCGGATGAAGGTTTTAACTACATTTCGACGTTAAGGTCTACACATTTGATCAGCCCATGACCGGATTTGATAACTACCCTACACTTTGTCAATGTGTACCAGTCATGTATGATGGTTTAAAACATATTTCACTAATTTCGGAGTGAATCGATACCCCATAACACGTGTAGTCATTCAATGTGCACGAGTCACGTATAATGTTTCAAACATTGTTTTACTAGTTTCGGAGTGAAATAGATACCCCGTGACCCCAAACGGCACCTGATCATTGTAAACGGAGGGTCACCGTTTAGGGTTTAGGGTTTAAAAGGTATTTGGACGGTGAAATGACATGTCGTCGTTTTAAATGCATATTTGACTTTTCTACGCATTTAGTGTTCAGTTCCATTGATTCAGCTGATTGCTGTTTTGGATACCTAAAATGGCGTATGGACGTTTTAATCGTATGACTGCCATTTTTCTAATTCAGTGTTGAATTCGCATCACTTTCGTTCATTTAGCCCCCCCACCTTGTCCAGACCTTGTGATCCAAAACGGTATGTTGCNTGTTGAATTCGCATCACTTTCGTTCATTGAGCCCCCATAAGTCGAGACCTTGTGACCAAAAACGGCATGTCGTCGTTTCAAACGCATAGCTGACATTTCTACGAATTTAGTGTTCAGTTCTACCGATTCAGTTGATTGCTGTTTTGGATACCTAAAATGGCGCATGAACGTTTTAATCGTATGACTGTCATTTTTCTAATTCAGTGTTCAGTTCGCATCACTTTCGTTCATTCAACCCCCACAAGTCGAGACCTTGTGACCCAAAACGGAATGTTGCCATTTTAAACGCATAACTGACGTTTCTACGAATTTAGTGTTCAGTTCTACTAATTTAGCTGATTGCTGTTTTGGATACCTAAAATATCGCATGGACGTTTTAATCGTATGACTGCAAAATTTCTAATTCGGTGTCAATTCGCATCACTTTTATTCATTCAGCCTCCACAAGTCGAGGCCTTGTGACCCAAAGCAGGATGTCGTTGTTTTAGACGCATAGCTGACGTTTCTAAGAATTTAGTATTCAGTTCTACTGATTCAGCTGATTGCTGTTTTGGATACCAAAAATGGCGCATGAAAGTTTTAATCGTATGATTGCTATTTTTCTAATTTAGTGTTCAATTCGCATCACTTTCATTCATTCAGCCCCCACAAGCCGAGACCTTGTGACCCAAAACGGTATGTTACCGTTTTAAACACATAGTTGACATTTCTACAAACTCAGTGCTCAGTTCTACAGATTCAGCTGATTGCTGTTTTGGATGCCAAAAATGGCGCATGGAAGTTTTAATCGTATGATTACCATTTTTCTAATTCAGTGTTCAATTCACATCACTTTCGTTCATTCAACCCCCACAAGTCGAGACCTTATTACCCAAAACGGCATGTTGCCATTTTAAACGCAGAGCTGACGTTTCTACAAATTTAGTGTTCAGTTCTACTGATTCAGTTGATTACTGTTTTGGATACCAAAAATGGCGCATGGAAGTTTTAATCGTATGATTGCCATTTTTCTAATTCAGTGTTCAATTCGCATCACTTTCGTTCATTCAGCCCCCACAAGTTGAGAACTTGTGACTCAAAACGACATGTTGACATTTTAAATGCATAGCTGACGTTTCTACGAATTTAGTGTTCAGTTCTACTAATTTAGCTGATTGCTGTTTTGGATACCTAAAATGGCGCATTAACGTTTTAATCGTATGACTGAAAATTTTCTAATTCGGTGTCAATTTGCATCACTTTTACTCTCACCAAGCCATCATACCAGTCAACTTATCCCACAAGCCACTTCTACTCTCATCGGAATTAGATCCATAAACTCCTATAAACATCCAATGAAATCCATCCCCAATATTTCTAAACGAGAGCGACAACGAGTATGTCCATACACTAACATCCTCCATATCATACACTCTAGTGTCCCACATGATTATCATGCCTCCTGATGCCCACAATGACCTCACAAACTGATATCCAACATGATATCCCTCCATAAGCTACTGACCACAACCCTCGAGACGAACTCCAATTTAGTTTCTTGCAAAACAAACAATGTTAGCCCTCCATCCCCTTAACAAATTTCGAACACCTAACATTTTCCTAACCTCATTAAGCTCCCTCACATTCCAACTAAGAAGTTTTGGAGTCATTTTAACACTCCATCATCCCTCCCCAACAATCATTTTCTTGATTCCCCACCCTTAGCATCATAGCCGCTTAAGTTCGTGAACACCCTTCCTTCTTGCTTTGCCTCCTTGTGTACTCATCCCATACCCCCTACTAGCCTCCAGTTCCTCGAATAATTGCATGAGTCTACTTTCATATCCATCGCAAGATACACCAACTTACTGAACTCCTGAATTTTTTGAAGGGTCCAATTTGAAGGTTGGGGTCCAACTTCAATCGCATTTACCTTCATTGTTTCCTTTGCAAGACAACATTCCAAAGGGTCGTACGAATATCCCTCCACTTCCTTTACATGTACAACATCATTGTCAGTCTTTCCTTCTGGCCGCCTTTTACCCACAACACCAAAGCGTTTTCAATCCTTAATTCTTTTTCTTTTAGGGACTTAATATGCTTTCTATTATACGTGTTCTCAACCATAACAGCCGCACGCGCCGCATCGTGTTCTTTCAGGACTATCGAAGCCAATTTCTTTACCAATACATGTGCCATCTCTTGCTCAACTAAGAGTAATCCATCCGTCGACGAATTCGTGTCCATCTCGTCTAATGTAGTCAACTCCAGGTTTACCATTTTCGGCCCCCCTTCCTTAGACTAGGGGGCCACATTCTGATTTGCTGCGAATCCCGAAATTTCTCATCCGTATCCAACTCCACCACTTTAACCCCATCATCATTTCCGGAGTATACTGCTTCAATTCGTGCCTGATACTCGTAATAATGCTTAGTCATTCCCAGTTTGTCTTTAAAATGAGCTGCATTCGGTGATAACTCCTAAGGAGCCAAGCTCGCTATTTGTTTTTCGTTAGCTAGAGACTAATCCACTCCAACCCCACACTAATGACAATAAAATATCTTGGGGCTTGCCTCAGATCCATATCCCACTAGCCTGATTAAATCATCCAACTCTTCTTTCAACGCCTGGACGCGGGCCCTTATTTCAGTACCTTGTGAACCTTCTGCATGTATCTTCATAGGCTTAGGCACCCTAAGATGATTGTCAAACTCCCTCACATTGTACATCTTGTCATTTCACACTATCCCCCGTTGGTCAACTTTATGCGATGTCTGTAAGTTTGTCGTAACTTCGGTATAAGTCGTCCTTTGTCGATTTCTTGCATCCATCGTTCGATGTTTAGCCTTATCTCCAGCAACAAATGAATCAACAACCTTACAAACCCTTGAAAATGATGCCCATCCCTCTCCATTCACACCTTTCGGCACAATCACAGCTCCTATTCGATGTCTTCCTCCATACTGTGCTATCGTTAAGTGCCTACCACGGCTATTCACACAACGTTGTGCCAAAAAAGCCCCGTGATGACCCGTTAAGCTTGGAGACAAAATTTGATTTTAATCCGAAACAAACAGGGCTTTAGTGTCACCATAGCCACCCAATTTCATATAACGTTTTACCATGATCATCTAATTTCATATAACATTTCACTATGGCCACTCAATTTCTTTTCACTAATTTTGAAAGGGATAAAACGGTAACTTTGTATTGTATTTAAAATAAATTTTAAAAAAAGCAAAATAAAAGTTTTTGTTTAAAATGTGAAAAACTTTTATTTTAAAATAAGTTTTAATTTTATTTTATTTTTCTAAGTAACTTTTTTCAATAAGTTTTTTTTATGTAACATTTTTTTAAATGAGTTTTTATTTTAATTTTTTTAAATTTATTTTTTATATATAATGCAAAATTATCGTTTTGCCCCATTTAAAATTAATGAAAATGATGAAAAAAAGTTTGGTGACTATGCTGAAATAAAATCAAATTGAGTCTCACTTGTAGGTTGAAAGTGATAACTTTTGGAATGTTTTTACAAAATTTTGGGTTGAAAATGAGGCACCAAAGAAAAGTTCAAAATATCGTACTTCAACTAATATTTTTTGTTTTGAAACATCTAAATATATTATTTTATTTTATAGTTTTTCCCCAACAAATGCCTTCGAAAGGATTTCAAAAGGAACAATGCTGCAGTGTCAAGGAGGGTTTGACACCCTCTCTCACAAATCCCACACAATAGGGGGGATGGGAGAATTTTTTTTCCTTTTATAATTCATATGGGTCTCGCATGGATCCCACTACAAATATGAGAGGATGTCAACTAGAATGTCAAATTTCTTTGATAAAATAGTTTAATCCTTCAAAATAGCATAATTTTCTTGAAGCATAGACTACTTGCAAACGAATATGCGACTTCTAACTTATGACTTATCAGTGTAAAATTTAATGTTACAACTATCAATAATTGCATAATGTAACAGACCATGGCTTGGGAATTTCATTTATTAAGAGTGAGCAATCGAACGTGTAATGTTATTTAAGAAGGCGAGCAACTTCCAGTATTGGTCCTTCTAACATTCTTTACCATTGTCACTACAGCAAGCATTTTAGGTCTCTGCTCTGGCTTCCTAGCCACACAACTCAGCGCGATTTGCAACATATTTACCATCTCTTCCTCTTTATCAGGAAAATGCAGCAGTTCTTCATCAAATACTTTAGCAGTCCACTCCTTGTGAACAATTGAACGAACCCATTTGACCAAGTTCAAGACTCCAGCACGGGAAGGGGATTTCCCGGTGAGAAGTTCAAGAAGCACAATCCCAAAGCTGTAGACATCAGAAGCTTGCGACACTTTCCTGGTGTTTATGACTTCTGGGACTTGGTACCCTGCAGTACGCATGACCGGAGGTCCAATCGGAGTTACCAATGTTGCTAAGCCAAGATCGGACACACAACCATACTGTTGTGAGTTCAGGAAAATGTTTGAGGTTTTTATATTTCCATGGACAAGCTTCCCGTCACATTGTGCATGGATATGAGCAGTACCAGTTGCGGCACCAATTACAATTTGTAGCCGAGTTTCCCAGTCGAGAAGAATCCGGTCCTTGGATCTTTTTTCTGCAAAAAGTGTCAAATGCATCAGATATTCAGAGTATAATAGCATCTGGACTTTTACCTATGAACTAGTAATCATTATTATGATACAATAAAGAGATTTTTCTCAGTAAGGTTCACATCAGTTTTGCACAAGTATGATTCTCGCACTCGGACAGATCATTAAAAACTAAACCAGCAGATGCTAAATAATCAACTCTCTCTAGTATATATCATTTAATGGCTCCTAACATTAAATCCATCTACAAAAACAAAATTTCGTTCATTACTCAGATAATTTTCAACGTAATTTTGCGATTTTTGAGCTAATACAGAAGCCAGAAACAGCGCTTAATATAATTACAACGACATTCCACAAGAAGAAAGTATCTGCCATAACTATTTTTGAGACGAGACACAACACCAAACACCGTGATATATTATGCCATGTCCACTTCATCAATTCCATTTATTTTAGTAATGCTCTATCGTCAAGGGCTTAAAAGCAAGTTTGATTCAGTTGATAAAACAATTCAGGCGACATACAAACTAAAGAATCTTATGAAACTTCTTTACAAAAATTAAGATATTTATCTTTCAGAATTCATGGATTTTAGTTAACTGCACCCATAACTCCTTTCTTTATGAACTCATGACATTATAGATGTGGCACTCCACAGATATGTACGCTTGTAAAAGGAGAGGAAAAAAAAAAATACGATAGTTATTGCCAAGCTAACTAAAGGAAGATCACATATGAATTTAAAAGGGGAACATTAGAGGAAATTATTTTAGCGATTCATATCTAAGGAAACAATTCAAGGAAGTTAAAATAATTCAAAAGGAAGTAATGAAACCGATGTGGAAAACAAGACAAGAATTCTCTACAATGACACTGTAGAACAATTGAAGGGACATGATGCAGCTTGGTAAGATGTTTGTTTTAGGTACAAAGTGTTAAAAGGATAAAATCCTACATCAAATAGAGATGAAAGCATAAACCAACTTATGAGGGTTTGAACTATTTGTCTTAATAAAGTTGATCATTTAAGATGGAATCACAACATTAACATGGTTTCAGAGCCTATTAAACTCCAATAAACAATTCGATCTTATTAAGACTCAAAAAAAATTGAACATCCAGATTTCAAGATTGGCATACTCAAACGAGCCACCATCCCGCCAGATATATAAATGATAAAATTTCACATCGAATAAAGATGAAAACGTAGATCAACTTATAAGGTCTGTGCTACTCTTCTTAATAAAATTGATGTTTTAAAATGGAACTCCAAATCTAAAGGTGAAGTGTCATATGGTCAAATCCAATTCAATCCAGTCCTACCAATTACATCTCCTTGAGCAGTAACGAGGAATCGATTGAGTTCACGAAATCAAGACTAGATGAACTAAAATGCAACAATTGGGTATCACAGAAACTCATTAATACAGAGTTTCCTTCTCCTTTCATGATTCTTCCCAGTAATAGTTGGTTAGCTTTCTTATATATGTATTGTTCGGAGTTGTAATATATCACTTTGCACTTTGAAAACATTTTTTCCAACGTACTCATTTTCAACCAGGTAAACCCAAAAATTTCCCTATTATCTAATCACAAATTCTCCTGAAAATTACCATTCAAAACTTTGTTTTTTTCCAATTAACGGTTGTCAAACAGGGGCTAAGAAACCGAATTTTTGTTTAATTTTAAGAAAGAGCACACGGAAGCATAACTTACTGCGAAGCATTGCGTGAACGCTCCCATGACTGTAGTAATCATATAGCATGAGCTTGTTATCCTTAAAAGTACAGTAAGCTCTGAGAGGTACAACATTTTCGTGCCTAACACTGGCAGTGATCTCCATCTGCCGCTTGAACTCTGTCTCGTCGACACTTAATTCCCTCAATCTCTTCACCACAACTCTAACCCCATTACTCAGAACTGCCATATATGCAGTCCCAAATGCTCCCTTACCCAAAAATGTAGAAGGGGCCCGTGACAAGGCTTGGAGTTCAAATGCAAGAGTGCACCCTTTCACGAACACTAACTTGGGTTCCACTTTACCAACAGATTTTTCTTTCTTTTCGGACTTTGATTCCCTAGAGTCAAGTGTGGGCTGTGTGGCTGGGAAATTCTGTGGATATGGAGATGAACCTGCTGGGTTTGAAGACATCAAACTGAAATCTGATAATGTCGAGACATTACTTGAACTCCTCGAAAGTTGATGACAGAGTTGCCTAATCTGCTCTCTCTTTAGCGTGGCTTCAACTAACCTCTCCCAATTGTCATAAGCCAGAACCATCTTCTCGCTTTTGGCTTCGAAGATCTCAAACGCTTTTTCTAATACGAAATGAACAAATCAAGAAAAATTACTGTGGCAATTGACAAAAGCAAACCAGACTCCAATTCAAAACCAAATAGTTTCTTCTCGTAATTTCTTGGAATTGAACAGAAATTTTTCTAGGAAATTTCAGCGTGTGGACTTCAGAAAACAGCGCAAAGAAGCAGCTTCTAGGAGAGTAGAGTGAAGGAAGACCACCCAAACTAGTCAAAACTCGATAAACCCAACCTAACCGATGGATTTTCGTAATAAACTTTCGTTTCATTTAATTTAAAAATCAAAATTTTGATAAATTTTGATAAAAATTAATTAAGCCTGTTCGTCTCCAAAAGCTCATTTTCCTCTACATTTTTTTGTGGGGCTGGTTACATTGAATATAGGACAATGCTACTTTACCAGAACTACTCACTTACAGAATAGTTACAGAATAAATTATTTCCTAAAATATCCTTCTCATATAATTTACAACTAGAAGCCATCATAAGTATATAAAAACACCAACTTAGTTCCTAAAA